ATAGACTGAATGCGAATGAATGTGCGGCTAAACAGAGCCTGTGTTGCGCTGTAGTAGTGCTCACAGGCTTAGCGTTTTCAATGAATGTCAATGTGCTCTCTCTCTCTCTCTCTCTCTCTCTCTCGCAATCTCTCTCTCTCTCGCAATATCTCTCTCTCCCGCTCTCCCTCTCTCAGCCTTTTGTGTTAGGGTTTTGCAATACCAGTGCCAATACATACAGGGGTTTGCCTTCGCTTACAGCGCTTTTTACAGCGCTATAGCAAATGCACGCAATGTGTGTGCAATACATGCAATCCATTGGTATTTCGCTCTCTGGCGAACACTTTTGAAAGTGTTATCCATTATGTACTGCAGGGTATGGGAGGGAAAGGATACCACTCCCGGAGCCCTACCATTCATATCACGCCATCTGATAGGCCTCTCTCGCGAGGAGATGGTTATCGCACTGACCGTCAGTATCATTAACTCATAGGCGCTCGTCATAGGGATAGGAATATACGGGTGTTTTTGCGGACACCCGGAGGAACGGGAAGGGAATAATAAGTGGCAAAGTTTTGACAGATATGATAGTCAAACGGTTGCCAAACACCTGATCGATAGGTTATTGTTTCTGTTGAATGAAACGGCGACTAATTATCCAAACATTAGTTGCAATTAATGAGCGAACAAAAAAAGTTTTGCAAACTTCTGGGCAAACAATCGATGCAAACAAAACAGACGGCGCGGAAACACAATTGCAGTCCATCTCATAATTAATTGGTTATATATTTGTAGTTTGTTTTGTCGTTGTTATAGATTTGTCGTAACGTTAAAAATAATTGTCGTTAAATGTTTAGCCCAAAGAAAAACAGCAAAAAAGTTATTTTTCTCTCCGCTTTGAAAACCGCAAGACATTCGCTAATCGTATGTGAATTGAATTCGCGTTCAATTCAATTGATTTGTTAACTTAATTATAACGGATAGTCTTTGGGTAAACGGTATAATATAATTGCGAAACCACTCAAACAACTCGTCTTTTTCTTATACAATATTCTCCTTAAGCTTTTTTTTTGGGCCGAATATTCATTAGATATTTGTGTTACTAATAAATGTTTCACTAGTTTTTCATGCATTTTGGATGAGAGAGGATGAGAGCAAACGTATAAATAGTTGTTTGTTATGTGACTTTTGGACCGGAGTTTGCCTTTTTTATTACCGATAACTGTTTGGTTGTAATACCTGTTAGGTATTTGGAGGTGCGGTATATACTGTATGTGTGCACTGTATTTGTGACTCTAGTTATAAAAACCTATTGATTGTGCAATAGTTAGAGAGAGAGAGAGAGAGAGAGAGAGAGAGAGAGAGAGAGAGCACATTGACATTCATTGAAAACGCTAAGCCTGTGAGCACTACTACAGCGCAACACAGGCTCTGTTTAGCCGCACATTCATTTGCGCTGTAAAAAGCGCTGTAAGCGAAGGCAAACCCCTGTATGTATTGGCACTGGTATTGCAAAACCCTAACACAAAAGGCTGAGAGAGGGAGAGCGGGAGAGAGAGAGCGAGAGAGAGAGAGAGAGAATAATGGTAATAGCGAGACGTTATGTAATAAAACTGTTTTGTTAAGTATTTTTGTAATTTAATTCATTCCTCTCTTGTCCTCAAAATAATAGCTCAAAAAAACACATCACATTTCTATAGGAATGGGAAATAACTTCTTTTCGTATTTAAAACAGTGATTTGCATCTCTTTTCACTCAATAACACTACCGGTACTCTCTCTCTCTATCTCTCTCTCTCTCTCTCTCTCTCTCTCTCTCTCTCTCTCCAAAACCTAAGAGAGCAGTAAATGATATTCAGATGACTTAATTATTTTTTCTTCTCGCAAAAAGCAATTATTCAAATAAAGTTTAGGCAAAGAAAATGCAAACAACAAACTTCTTTGACTCAATGAAAACACAACACAAACAATAAATGCTATTCAAAAGGGAAGAGGAATTAGTGGAGAAAATTATGCACAAAACATATACCCATATATTTTGCGCATAAAATCAACTTTAATTTTATAAATTGCTGACAAAAAACGCCGAAAACTATACACATATTTAAAAATTTAATGCTTAATATTCTTACGACTGAATAGTAATCAACGAATGAATTAATATTCAATGCGAGAGAGAGAGAGAGAGAGAGAGAGAGAGCACATTGACATTCATTGAAAACGCTAAGCCTGTGAGCACTACTACAGCGCAACACAGGCTCTGTTTAGCCGCACATTCATTCGCATTCAGTCTATCCATACGTTTGTTTCAACACAAATACTAACACACATTGTATTGAA